TGTGTGTGTGTGTGTGTGTGTGTGTGTGTGTGTGTGTGTGTGTGTGTAGGAGAATAGAAAAGTTGGACAGACGGACGCGCCTCCAAGAAACTTTCCTCTGCGATTCGGAAGCTACCTGGGATCGCGCTCTTTAAATCCCGACTCCCAGCCGGGTCTTTTCGGCGTTTGCGGGGCAGGGTTTCTTTCAGCGCTGCCGTTTGGACGCGCCGGACCTCGCTCGCGGGCAACGGCGGGAATCGAAGTGCAGCGGTGGCCCCTCGAAAGACCTGGGGTGCTAGATTTCTTCGGAGAAAAAAGGCGCTTTAAAAAAAAAATCGGGTAGCACAGAGACCAAAACCACAGGAGATAAAAGTGGTGCGTAAAATCATGGATCGCGCCTCATGCCCCACATTTCCTCTTCCTTTCCCTTCCCTTCTTTATTACCAGAATTTGCCTTATTTCGAGAAACGGAGGAGGTAGCAACTTCTAGTCAGAAGACGGGAGAAAAGGATGGAACTTCCCACTGCTTGAAATGACTTTAAAATTCTGCGATTGGGAGGGAAGGTGTTTTTGAACAATTAATATTTCATCATCAGCTACTGCTCTTATTGAATATACATTTGTCTGCAGGGTTTTAGGAATGGTGAGTGTCCAGGCTAGTTTTCACCTACTGGTACTTGTCACAGTAAGGGTGGAGTGGGGAACCAAACCTACATGCCCAGATCTTACTTCTCCTGTTCTTTGGTAGGCCTACCTCTGTGGCCTTCCAGACTAGATATGGCTTTGTCTGAGTTTTGATATCCTTAATCTTCAGTTCCCCAGCTCTGTCATCCAGCAAGTGGCATTCCCAAAAGGCAAACCCCGTTTGAACAGTGAAGAACAGAATTGCTGCATGTGTCCAATTAGTTTAATGCTAACTGTACCAGTCTATGCAACCCAGCACACTGTACATGTGTTGGATTCAAGTTCCCATCATTCCCAATTGAAAGTTGAGGAAAAAGTGAATTCTTGTTGTAATATTTGGCTTCTCAGTGTCTCTGGTACATACAACTTTGCTCCCATCCAGGCCAACCCATCTCTAACTGTACAGTTATTCGAATGAGCCAGGAACCATTCATCAAATTTTAGGGCGTCTTTTAATTGTGCCGTCAAATCATTCGATAAATCCACTTCTTGTTTCTTCTTTTGAGCTCTAGTGACCACCAGGGTGGCTAGCTGTTTGGTTGAGACAATCGGCCGTATCACTTCCTGATGAACACTGTTATATTGAGGCAGTCTAGATAGAGCATCCGCCATAAAATTCCTCCCCCCCGGGATGTACTTCAGTGAGAAGTTAAACCGCTTAAAATACTGAGCCCACCGAACTTGTTTAGGAGACAGTTTTTGAGGCGTTTTTAAGGCCTCCAAATTCTTATGGTCAGTCCATACCTCAAACGGGTGTTTCGCTCCTTCTAAGAAATGTCCCCATGTCAATAGAGGCCAGCGTACTGCAAAAGCTTCCTTTTCCCAGACGGCCCACCTTCTTTCGGTTTCAGTTAGTTTACGGGAGGTGTAGGCACAGGGTTGTAAAGTTCCCTTCTCATTAATTTGAAGTAATACCGCTCCAACGGCCACATCACTCGCATCGGCTTGGATCACGAAAGGGGCATCCATGTCCGGGTGCTTTAGCACTGGTTCTGCAGCGAACAGTCATTTCAGCTTTTCAAAGGCGGCTTGGCATTCCATGGACTACTCCAGCGGTTTGCTAGGCTTTGGTTTCGCCTCCCCTTTAGTTTTTAAGAGGTTGGTGATAGGCATTGCTATTTTAGCAAAAGACGGGATGAATTGCCGGTAAAAGTTGGCAAATCCCAAGAAGCTTTGAAGTTGTTTTCGGGTGCGTGGGGGGGCCCCACTCCAACACAGCTCACACCTTCCCTGGATCCATTTCGATGCCCTCGTGTGAAATGCGATACCCCAAATAGTCGATTTTCTCTTGATGGAACTCACATTTGGACAGTTTAGCATACAATTTAGCGGCTCGCAGTTTCTGTAGTACTGAATGCACCAGTTTCACATGTTCATCCCAGGTTTCCGTGTAGATAAGGATGTCATCAAGGTAAACCAAAAACCCCTTGTATAAATGTTCATGTAACACCTGGTTGATCATCTGCATGAATACGGCTGGAGCCCCTTGTAGGCCAAATGGGAGAACGTTGAACTGGAAACAACCCATCGGGCAGTTAAAAGCGGTTTTCCACTCATCTCCTTCTTTAATTCGGATTCGGTAGTATGCTTCTCTCAAGTCCAACTTCGTGAAAATTTTCCCTTTAGCCAAGTGGGCTAGCATGTCTTTCATCACGGGGAGGGGGCACACGTTTTCCCACGGAAATTGCGTTCAGGTTTCTATAGTCCTCTACCAAACGCTTGGAGCCATCTTTTTTTTCACGGAACAGCACTGGGGCCGCTACCCGAGGTCTAGCGGGTTGGATGAAACCACATTTCAAATTTTTATCAATAAATGACCTCAGCTCTTCTAATTCCCGTGGTGTCATCGAATAAAGCTTCGGTTTCGGGAGCGTCACCCCAGGTAAAATTTCAATACTACAATCTGTTGACCGATGAGGGGGAAGCTCATCTGAAGCCTTTTCACTGAACACTTCCTTTAAGTCCCAATATTCTTTCGGAATTCTTTCCTCCCCCTCCAGGTCCTCGGTACCTGTGGAGGCTAGCTCAACCGGATTCTGAAGCTTCTGCTGGGATCGCCCCTCCCTTTCCGGTTGCTGATCAGTGCGTATGCGCAACGACCCCTTCCTCCAGTTCACATGGGGGTTCCACTTCCGGAGCCAGGGCAATCCCAGTATTAACGGTTGTTCCATCCCAGGGGCCACAATAAAACACAGAGTCTCTTTATGCTCTCCCATGGTCATTTCTAGGGGTTCCGTTATGAAACGTGCAGGGCAACCTCCCGCCACTGATCCATCCAATGGGCAAAAGGCTATGGGCGTTTTTAAAGTTTTCAGTCTGATGCTCATTTCCTCAACTACTTTCGTGTTGATTACGCACCTCGTGCACCCAGAGTCTAGCAAGGCTAGCATCTCCCCTTCAGTCCCTGAAGTGGGCACCCTCAATTTCACTGGAATGGTCATGGGGCCCTTGTTTGGATTTACCAAGAAGTCGTCTTCGGAGTCAGATTCATTCTCTTCAGAGGAGGTCGGAGGTCCCAGCTCCTCTCCTCCCGGAGGGGCGACCTCTACAACAACTTCCCCCATCTTTAGCGTGGTTTCGCGAGGCCTGGCTGGGGGGTTTTCAGGCTTCCTCCCTCCTTTTGGCACCCCCTTTGGATCCAGCTTGACCCTGCAGTTCGCAATCCGGTGGCCCTCCTTCCCACATCGAAAACAGGCAGTGCGGGGGGGGGGGGGGAGAATTCTGTTTTCGCTGGCAGAGGGTTGTAGGAGGGCGTTGCAGCTGAAAATGAAGCTCGGGAGCCTGTTTCGCTGGCAGAGGCACTGCAGCAGGCCACTCCACTCTTCCCAGGGCGGCCTTGCCGGCCAGATCTAAACACCCCATGGGCTGCATCTGGGCCGCAGGCCTTGAGTTTTACACCCCTGGTCTAGACTCTTCTTAAAAATATCCCGTGATGAAGTACCCACAGTTTCTGGAGGCAAGTTGTTCCATTGGTTTTGTCCTCACTGTTAGGAAGTTTCTCCTTAATTCCAGCTTGCTTCTCTCCTTGATTAGTTTCCAACCATTATTTTTTGTCCTGCCCTCTTTGTGCTTTGAAGAATAATTTGACCCCCTCTTCTTTGTGGCAGTCCTTTAAATACTGGAATACTTCTATCATGTTACCTCTAATTCTTCTTTTCGTCAGACTAGTCAAACCCAAATCCTGCAGCCATTCTTTGTATATTTTAGTCTCCAGGCCTTTGATCATCTTAGTTGCTTTTCTCTGAACCTTTTCTAAAGACTCAACATCTTTTTTTTTGTAGTATGGTGAGCAAAATTGGTTGCAGCATTCCAGGTGTGGTCTTACTAGGGTTTTATAAAGCAGTACTACTAGTACTTCATGTGATCTTGATTCTATGCCTCTGTTTATACAACCCAGGATTGTATTAGCTTTTTTGGCGGCTGCTGCACACGGCTGGCTTGTATTCAAGTGATCATTCACTAGGACTCCAAGGTCCCTCTCACAATTACTGTTTTTGAGGCAGGTTTCACCTAACCTGTACTTATACCTTTGATTTTTCCTGCCTAAATATAAAACAAGGAGGCTTGTTGATACTTGAGATGTCTTAGTGCATTTGAGGTGGATATTATCTCATGTACTACTTCTAAATTTAAATCAAAATGTACCTGCCTATGCTTGTCAAGTCTGTTCCTCAAATCCAAGATATTTTGAATTGGATTCAAAGATAGATAAAAATGACGGCATTGCTGTTACAGGACACAGATATGATGTAGGCAAGATGATATTTTGTTGGACTAAAATCAGACATGTAAACTGGCAATATGTGAATTATGAGAATTTCTCAGACTTCAAAACAAAAATATAAAATAGAACAAGAATATTGGTGTATCGGATTAGCAATAGCTAATTCAAACGTCAGTTTTATCAAACTACATTCTAACACACATTCCTGCTTCTGAAACCAGAATTCACTATATTTTAAATACCACTATACTATGCAGAATTTTCTTATCTTTCCATCCATCCATCTCACAAATATAAAACTTTTATTACCATCAAGGATTAGGGATAGGGTTAAAATGATTCTTCTAACTGGTGTTGTAGTCTCTTGAATGGATCTTGTGTTGCTGAAATGTCCTAGACATCACTTTATGGCTCTACTCTTTTTCATACTAAAAAAAGCTTTTTTAAAGAAACAGAGTAAGAGGGAGAGATAAAAGAATATATCAACGGGGCCAAATCATGAGTTAAATTGGGAATGTTCAGCATACCTTATGGGGATTTCCCTTTGGATATGCAAAACATTTACCATCTTAGTAGAGCAGGAACCCCATTACATAGGGCAGATTGTCTGACTTGCTACCCCAAACATGATCTAGACATTTTGTGTTTGTTTCATGATTTTAGATTTAATTGTGCCAAACTCTTTCTGAGCCCAGTTTCCCCTAATATTTGTTACTCCAAAAACTCCTGCAATCATGCATTGGAAACCTGATAATAAAATGCCTTTCCCTCCTTCCTAACTAGCGTACTTCTATCTCTCCCATTTAAGAGGCCTGAAGGTTTCAATTTTACCATTTCTGGCATCACTACTCTGCCTACTGATCTTCCCTTTACTTTTTTTTTCTCTACCTTAATTTAAAAGAAAAGGGGAGGGGGGCAATTGGATCTGCTTTGCTTGAAGCCTATCAACAGTGGATGCTATGGGATGGAGGTAGGCAAAGAAGAGATTGGGAAGAGCAGGAATATGTCCTTGATTTTTTCCCCTGTTCTCTCTCCAAATGCTTTTCTGTTGCACTTGCATATTTCAGTCCTATATTAGGACCAAATACATGTGTTTCATCTAGACATGTTCCACTCACACCTGGCTCTTTCATGCCCCAAATAATTTGCACAATACTAACTCAAACTTGATCCTGATATGCTCTAACCATACAACAAAACTGCCAAGCATAATTTTCCTATGATTCAAAATTGTGTCTTTATCTGAGGTAATTATGCCTGCTATGTTATTGCAGCACTACTAACTCAGCCTAGCCTTACCTGACCTCACAAGAGGATAAAATGAAAGCCTTTGTGCATATTTTCTATCTTTCTTGGATGAAAGATAGTATCCAGGTGTAATTAACACATTCCAAAACCTCGATGATCTGGTTTTCTTCTTTCTTCCTTTTATTTTTTAGAAAACAACAATTCAAATTTCTCAGGAAAAAGAAAGCAAACCCTGGCTCACTCACATCCTCTTCCTAGAAACTCTTGTAAACTTATTGTGCAGGAGAAGAGAGTTTGCCACCTTTCACTCAAAATACTATTTGAACCAGATTCAGCCACAAGAGTTCTTGTAACCAGTCTTTACATTAATATACCAATAAGACTGTCTGTAAATTACTTTTCTATTCAATATAAGGGAAATATCAATATCAGTCACTCTTGAAATATGTGATCAGGGCTCACAAGGTTAAAAGTTGTGTGTTTGTCAAAGTATAGCTTTCTGGATTTTCTGGATGCTGAGGGATTTTTTTGGGGGGGGGGGGAGGAAAAGGGAAGTCATTAACTAAACAAGCATATTCTGATTTTATTCACCAGAGCCATGATGACGATGAAAGACGAGTAAGACGAAGAGAGAAGAACAGAGTCGCTGCTCAGAGAAGCCGAAAGAAACAAACTCAGAAAGCAGATAAACTCCATGAGGTGACTGATGCGTTGGCCTTCTTCAGGATCAACAATTAGTATCATTATCGAAGGCAAAATAAGTCCTGGGTCACCTTAGGAATTAACAGAATGTTAGTTCCTTAATTAGGGACATCCAAAGTGGGAGGTGGAGTGGGTATGTGTTCAAAGTTCCACCTCTTTTATGTGTGTCACATATGCAACACATAAAGATGACGGGACTTCAATTGGCATCTAGATTTTTTTAACATTCATGCAGATCCTTTTGGTTTAATAAGCTTTTATGGAGCAAACCCCATTTTCTCAGATGCAGGGAATGCCACCCCCAGTTAAAAACCGAGCAGTGATCTAAATTTGTGTGACAACATTTTAGCTTTAAAGGCAGCCTTTCCAAGTGAGCATTCTCTAGATCAGGGATCCCCAACCTTTTCGACGCCGCGGCCCGGTTCCGGCGTCAGCTGGGCGCCGCGGCCCGGTTCCGGCGTCAGCTGGGCGCCGCCATCTTTTTTTGACGAAAAATCACTTCTGGTGACGTCACCGGAAGTGATTTTTCGTCAAAAAAAATGGCGGCGCCCAGCAACCAGCGGCCCGGTAAGGCTTGTTCCGCGGCCCGGTACCGGTCCGCGGACCGGCGGTTGGGGACCCCTGCTCTAGATGGATCGAGTCTCGGGGCCCACAGCAACATCTGATTACCCAAGTCTGGGAAAGGTTGAGCTAGCCAGATGCTTAGCCAAAGCTCACAATGGAAGTCACCGTCTCCTGCAGGTTGCATAGAACATGCTGTGATTGGAAGCTTCTAACCACAGAGCATCCATACTTAGATGTTGTTCCTCCATTAACACTTTTTTGACGCTTAAGCTGTTGACTGTCACAAATGCCTGAGACACTGAATTTCACAGGATATAGCTCATGAAAAAGAATTTGTCTGGATTTACCTGCACTGTAAATTTTGGGAAGTGACAGGGAGATTTATCATGCTCTGAATCAGGTTCAAGATATTTTCTCTCTTTACTTTCCCTCTTTCTCTACTAAAAAATGGAGATGATCACCACCCAATAGAATCGGACCTGACTGAACAAAGGAAACGTTTACCTTCTTCTTCTTTTTTAACTCTCCCTCTTCCTGGTTTACTGTTTTATAAATTCCCACCATGTCTCCTGTTGCTCATCTTTTTCTTCAAAACTATGTGATCTAATACACACTTTTCTCAGCAAACAATTAGCAGACCAATTTGGCAATCAGGGCAAGGAGGATATGTGGGTGAGCCCAGGGGAGGGATTCAAATTTTTTAACAACCGGTTCTGTGGGTGTAGCTTAGTTGGTGGGTGTGGCTTGGCCATGTTATTGGCTGGGCGTGGCCAACTCAATATCACTCACATCGAGGCATGCATCTCCTCGCCTGGCCTCTCACAACTGTGGGGATGCTGCAACAGTTGTAAGTGTGAAAAATGGTCATAAGTCACTTTTTTCAGTGCCATTGTAACTTTGAATGGTAACTCCACACAAGCAAAGTACCAGCAAAGGAGGGGGGGGGAAACTCCAGAGAAGTTCCTGAGACAGTAAGTCTAGTCTTGCCAAGAATGTAATAAGAGTTAACGGAGAGGCAGTTTCTGTAAGCAACATCAGACTGTTTCCTTCCTGCCTTCCTTACAGGATTAGGCCAGTAATTTCTTCTAACAACCGGTTCTCCGAACTGCTTAGAATGTTAACAACCGGTTCTAGCAAATAGATGTGAACTGGTAGAATCCCACCCCTGGGTGAGCCCCTATCTTGCCATCAGTGCATTGAGGTTATTTGTCAGCTCAGAGCTTATGGATATGGAATGTCCATATGTGGGTGCTTTTTTAAATCTTCTTCTTCATAGAATTTAGTGTTTTGTTTCAGACCAGCCTGGCATTTTTAGGATAGCAGCCTAAACTATGCAAACAGAATCAGGATATTAGAATCTTAGTCTAATATCTTATTATGCCCAGAAACTTCTTCCAAACAGTCTTGTTCTAACTGATAGTAAGACAACTGGGCAGGGAAAGCAATTTGTAATATTATTGTGATTTTTTTTAAAAACCACAGTCTTTTTTCCCTTTCTTGCATGTTTAATCATTGCAATATTTTTTTCATGTTCTCCTTTCCAATTGAACAATAGATGCTTATAAGCTGGCTTCTAAAGAATGGAGCTTAAGTGTAGAATAGCAAGGGTGTTGGCCAAGATTGAGATTGTTATCAGTGCTTCAAAGCTTTCATATGAGCAATTATGAATATTCCTGAGTAAAATGATGAATAAAGGTGGTGGACCAGAGTCCAACATGTTCTTTCAAAGGAAGAAAGCACATTATTCATCCATTCTTGTGACTTCATATGTGCAGTAAGGCAGTTAATGAATATATTGGTCACGGTGGCTGAGCAGCTATGGCCTTTTTTTTTTTTTTTTTTTTTGGTTAAGGACATTGGTTCATTTTTGTTTCAGCCACATTCAAATCAAGGGGGAAACTAGCCACTTGATGTACATTTGCCTTGTAAAGCAATTCTTTTCTGAGTCTCACTTGCTTTCCTTTCTTTTACTGGAACTCAAAAGATTACCTCATTCATGCTTTGGTTGAAATTGACCTCAGAGAGGCACGGGGAAATTTGATGTTTGTAAAGTAACTTCTCTTTTTGCTAGAAGTCTGGTGCCAAAGACCTGCCCCCCTCCCATACAAGAGAACTGAGCTCATTCAAGGAGGATGCTTTGGTCATTGGTTCATCTGGTCCTTTTTAAGGGTTTCCAAATGAGAGTCACTTTGGTTTGTCCTGACAGGCAGATCCTTTCATTGTGTTTCATAATCCACTCTTTATGGAGGAGGAGATTGAAAAAATTCAGCCACCTATGCATTAAAACTGTAGGTTTACAACTGCAGACCAGAATGACCAGGTTTCCAGGCATGGCCTATAAAGTCTCATTGGCTTTCTTACAGACCCCTGCCACTGTTCCAAAAGCTCAAAGCTACATTACTGTCCCCTTACTTTCTGCCTCTGCTGTCCTACTTCCATAGTACCCCTAGACCTGAAGAATATGCATTTGTATGTGCATGTTCATATGTGCATGTCTGGAATTTTTAAAGTTCAGCAGCTCTGACCATTTTTTAAATCCAGCCTCACCTGCTTCTGAAGGTTAGTCCCCCAAGTATCTCTCAAAGAAATCCTTGACTTGGCAAATTTCACTTTTTTACTATAAATCCTGCCTAAGTAGATAATGGTTTAACAAAGTGCATAAATCCATATCTATGATTTGGAATTCTGCCTTTTACTTCCAGTTCATCAATCTTTTTACTTATCAGGAAAATAAGTTATGACAAAGTAGAATAACAGCAAGAGATGTCAGTCCACACTAGGAGCTGTCATCTTGGAAAAATACCAGTATAAATCTATTCTGAGTTTGTTACATCTTCATGTTTTTTTCATTCTATCAGAATAATTTATGAGAGATACATTTAGTTCTGCTATTCTTAAAGAACTGGGAATCTGGAATCCCTGCTTATCCGAAACTTCCAGTGTTCAGTGTTCAACCAGTGGATTTACCTTCTACTTTTTTTTTTGTCTATACCCATGCCCCCATCAGCCAAACATTGAAGTGAACCCACATTTGATGGCCAAGAGATGATTTTCACAGAAATAGTCCTTTCTTTGGGGATGATGGGTCATAATCTTTCCCCTGTCTCCTTAAATTACTGTCATTTAACAATATATATCTACATGTAAATTAATGCTTGCTTGCTTGCTTTTAAAAGGAAAAATAAATATGTGTCTCTCTTTTGTTTTGTTTTGTGCTGCATTTCTTTTGGAATTATGTATTAACAGCCTTCTTAGAACCTCCTTCATGACTGAATTCACAAATGTTTTGGACTGAGAATGTCAAATAGCCATTCAGTATTTGCATCCCTGAGTTTTGGAGTTTGAGCTGTGACCACCTGTGTGCTGCTGAGAGCTGATTCAAGTGCTATGTTCTCACAGAAATAAATCAGAAAAGCCTGCTAGATCACTTCAAGTTAAAACCTACAGCCAGTTTTTCTTCCCAATTTGCCCCATAGCTATGGCATTTAAACCTACAGTATAATGCCTCTAAATATGGAGGCTTTATCCATCATCATATTTAATGCCTGTTTTCAATTCTAAATATTGCCCCTGGTAATTTACATCAGGACCCAAGCAATTTTTTCACGGGCCCACATTATCTGAGGGACTGCCTCATCCCCATCACATCAGCTTGTCTCACTCAGGTAAGGAAGGCATGTTCTGGACCCTGGGGTCAGTTAAAGACTTTCAACGGTGGGGTTCAGGAAGAGGGCCCAACTCTCCTAGCCTTTTGAAGAGTCTGAAGACCTGGCTCAGTCAGCTAGCATGAGGCTCACAGAACAGCACAAAAGCCAAGGAAGCCCAGGTAATGGCCAAGATCCCCCTCCAAATATAGAGAACAAAACAAAAGCAGAACTTGAGCTGATTTAATATAATTTATGTTCAAATGTAATTAAAACCAAGTTAGTTCAATTATCTATAAAATTGTTCTCTATATATTTTGTGATTTCCACCATTGTTGAATTAAAAAGTACAATTGGGTGGCAACCTTTACAGCAAGCAATCTGAAATCAGAAACCTCATATTTTACACCCCTTGTTTACATTGATAAAATAATATGATATAAGTGCAGATGAAAAGAATAGCCAAAGCTATTCCCTTTATTGGATGCTGAAGATAATGGATATTTCCTTTATGATAGCTCCTTCTCTAAATACTGACCAATAAAGGACTTTCCAAGCTAGGCTCCTCCCCTTTGGATTGTCCAACCACATAGTTCCACTCCTGAGAACAGATAAAAGCATTTATCTTGGCTAAGGTTTTCTGATAGAGGACTTCTGTTGATTTTATTAATATTTATTATACAAATTATGTTAAAAGTAATGGTTGTCTTGGAAAAAATATCCACTGCAGGATTTACTCTATTTGAATTTGCTCTACACTGCCACTTAGGTATTAGTTTAATGGTAATTTCCTATAGAAATATTTTAAATAGAACAATATAAATAAACTATGCCTTAGGTAGGTAAAATTAAGATACACTAAAAACCCACTGGGAAAAAAATGTCTTATGTAAACCAGATTGGGAAGAAAATAAATTAGGAGCTATCTACTTTTCAAAGTAAGTATATTTTTCAGAATAATTGTATCATTTTTAATTGTCTTTTTGGTTATTTTTAATCTTCCTTTTGAGAATTTAAGCACTTCATGAAGAATAGTTTAGCAAAATAATAAATAATCATGGATTCTTGCTTGCATGCTTGATCTGCTTATTTTTATCAATTATTTCAGGAATATGAGTGCCTTGAACAAGAGAATAGTTCTCTAAAAAGGGAGATTGGAAAGCTGACAGATGAAGTGAAACATCTGAGTGAAGTGTTGAGGAACCATGAGAAAATCTGTCCCTTGTTACACTGTCCCTTAAACTTTGGATTGATTCCCAGACATGAAGCCCTCCTTGGTCCCTTGCCAAGATAAGACTCCCTCCTGAGAAACCTGAAAGAATGAGAAGATTTCAAGACTCTCCAGTATTGTCATTTTGACCATCAAGTTGCATGAGTCCACACATTCGTACAGCAGCATATGCTACATCTAGTGTTACCTTGGATTCGTCCAATCATCAAGAATCAATGTTGATGTTAAAAAGCCATGAAGCCTTATGGGAGCAATTTTCAGCTGAGCAGGATATCTTCATTGTGTTTCTACTATGCATTCCATACGCAGCACGGAATAGGAAATATTATGTGCTAGAATTACTAGAATATGAAATATGTTAACTTTAGTTCATGCTTGACCATGTAGATGTATGCTCCTTACAATAATAGACAATTTGGCGGCCATCATAGGGAATGGGGAAAATGGCTTGAAACCAAAAGGATCATAGATATGACAACCGGTGTTCAAAGACAGGGACTGCTTTTGCTTCCCAGCACTCTGATTCCCTGTCATTTTTCCTCTCTTCCATTTTCTTCGGTGACAAACGCCTCGCGTTTTCTGAAAACCTAATTACCATATTTTTGGATATAGCTTTAGGATTGTTTTTAGGTGTGAACATATCATGTGGCATATGAGGTTTGGAAGGCATATCTTCATGCTTCAATGCATGATTCTCTGCAGTGATTATCATCTTACATATATTTTCAGCTGCACCACAATGGAGTTCAAATTGCAACAAAGATAGCATTTTCTTTGAAGATCCTTTTAAATGCTATAACTCTATGAAGGCCATGGCAGCACAATTGTTCTGGGAAGAAACTCCTTCTCACATTCCTTTGTCTTCTTCTCTGATGGTGGCTGGCCAATTTTGCAGCAGTTCTGACAAGATTTTTACACATGACCAAACAAACGTACACAACATAAACTAAGGACATGAATGGTGGTTACTAGCAGTTGTTTTCATTTCTCTTTTCTGTGGAGTGGATTTGACCGATTGTTTTTAGCAGCAGGACCTACAGCACCAGAGGGCACAGCTTGTGTAGGAGTGATCTTCTTCGCTGTTTTTTGACTTCTCAAGGTCAGCACTGTGAGAACAACTGCAAGTTGGTTTGAAACTGTTTCTGACAATTGGGAAGTGAAAATGATGTGGCACGGGAGGTTTTAATTTAGCATCCTGAGTTTGCTTTAAAAATTCCTCATGAAGGAGAATTGGTCACTTTCCATGGCAGTTTATTCCATTGTTAAAAGGTTGCTTGTTGTATGTTGTAATATTTTCTGTTAGTCTGGTATCTAAACACATTGGACCAAAGGAAATGGCTTCTCTCCTTCCCCTTATTTTTCCCCAATCCTGTTGTCAAGGAATAGCTAGTATGCAAGATGTGCCACAGAATATATGAAAGAACAGCAGCTTCATGAAAACAATAACACAGCTATGTTGAAGCAACACTTCCTGAAGAAGTACACAAGCCTGCATCCCTCCAAGTAGTTACATTTGAAGAGCTTAGTGAGAGAGCAAAGGGATCTATTGTGTTTTTATTGATTTTTTTTTATTTCATGTATTCATTGTATTATTTGGTTGAATTTAATCCTAGGACCAGCTTAGACTTACACATGTGACATTAGCAGTTATATAGATTGATTGTTCAAATGAGTGAGTGAATGAGTGAATGAGTGAATGAAATAAAAGAGCCAAATACAAAAATAATTGACAAGGAGAGAATTTCTATTCTATTCTCCCTACCTGCTTCTCTCATCGATACCCATGACTTGAGTATCCAGAGGAAGTCTGAGTGTATGGTGGAAGTACGGCTCCCATTTACACAAACAGCCACAGTCCACATTCTAATTTCTTTCCACATTTCCAAGAGACATAACAGGCTTTTTAGAAAATAAAGAATATTTATCTATTTCCATTGGTAGCAAGTGACAGAGAAAGAAAACATACCCATTGATACCAAATCAGTTAAAAATAGCTAAAAAGTGTGCAATTTCCTATCAAACTTCTGCTTTGGCTTACTTATCATACTATGTGAGGGAAGTTTCAGAATTTTAGTGTAGCAAAATCAGACTTTAGTAAATCTGACTCTGATACCCATTTACAGAATTGTGGTATTAAGTGTTCTAATATCCAAATGAAAATATGTACTTGGGAACTAAAATGCAAGTGTTTTACATAAATAAGAACCCAGTAAATTCTTTGAATAAAAGTCATGATGTTCCCCTTTTTGGCAAAACCTAGATCCTCATTAGCATAGGAATAACAAGCGACAGTGACATATAAATTTCAGGAACCTGATAATGGAAGTAGAATTCCTTCATAAAGGACAATTTCATATGATTCTTGCTCTTGGATGATTGAATGTTCCTGGAGAAATTAGAAGTATTCAGTAGAACCCTGTTTCTATGCATTGTGTAATACTTTTCCTGCTTTAATAGTATTCTAATTATTGTGGCTTCCATAAAAGAATCCTGAGAATTTATGAGATGGCAAGAGTTCTGTAGACATTCCGTATTTCTCTTTTCCAAACTATGGTTTCCAGGATTCATGAAAAGAAGAAACAGTAATTCAACTAATTCCTTTTAAGTGGTATTTTGCTGTACAAATGCATAATGGTTGTATAAATTCACTAAACAGATGTTTATTTCCTATGACTAAGATCCGGTCCTTTTCTCTCATCACAGTTATAGGAGCTAATCAAAGGGTGGTTGTTTCTGTTTGAAGAAAATCTATTGGAGAAAACTTGTGATCTCATATCTCAGGAATGACGCAATTTCTTCTTTATGTTGCTCATACCACTCTCTGAAAAAGTTCAAAGTTATCTTTCAAAGAAGCTGAACACTTCATCCCACCAAAGCCTGAATTAAACATATTGTCCAGCTCTGGAGACTCACTCATCTGGAGAACATCTGGTTGAGGAAAACTGTAATTCTCCTTAGAAGAGAATGCTTCTACCCTAGCAACACACTGCTGAAATTTCTGAAAGGGGAGTACAGGATGCCCATTCCATTTTTAGATGAAGAGCATGCATTTCCTGTTTTTAAAGTCATAAATTCTGTGGTGTGTAGGAGAGGGCCAATCAGAAAAAGGAAGATCCTATGTCTTTTTTTTTTAAAGAATTTTATTAATTTTCAATAAACAAACATACACAAACAAAACACAAAACATAAAAACATAAAACTTCTTTTTGGAAAGTGGCCTAGTCCTGGGTTGCATCTTTTGGTACAGACATAAATCAAATTCATGCTCACTTTATATACCATTTCATATCTTATTTACCATTCTATATTTTCTGTATGGCTTCTCCCCTCTTTTCACTCTCTTAATTCTATTTTATTTATTTCATCTCAATTTAAATCATTATACTGATATCTTTTGTCCGTTCTGTAATCATCTATTTTTCTTTTCTTATTAACACAATATTTCTCCTGTAATCACTGATTGAAGTATGACGCTTTTATATCTTTCCCCTAAATTTAACACTTAAAATAATATATAATTCTCATTCTGATTCTGCTTAGCACATTCTAAAACTACCTACTACATTTTAAGATAAAAAATAATAATAAATTTATAATATAATTGAAACAATAATCCATAGTATATTAAACTTTATCATTTATGCATTTTAGTATAAATCATATAAAGATCCAATTTTCTAACATTGTTTCAAATAAAATGTACTTTTGCAGAATCTCTTTTGTAATCCTAGTCTTTTTACCCCCCACCCCCAATCTCTTAATCTCCACCCTCTTGGTCTCCACTCTCTTCTGTAAACACAAACTATTTCATTTAGCCCTTTCTTCTTTTTAAACTTTCTCTTCCTGGGGTCTATCTTTCCCCTGGATTTAACACTTAAGATAATATATAATTTCCATTCTGATTCTGCTTAGTACATTCTACATACATTTTAAAATAAGAAAATAATATGTTTATAATATAGTTGAAACAATAATCCAAAGCAAATTAAACTCTATCATTAAATCTTAAACATTTTACATATTCCCTTTAATATTTTATTAAATCATATAATGTTCCAATTTTCTAACTCTATTTCAAATACAATACTACAATACAATCTTGTGTGCTTTTGCAGAATCTCTTTTTAATTTATATTTTACCCTTTGTCTCTAAAAAAGATCTGTTTTTTTACATCTTGTTTCAAGCCTTTGTGATTTCTCTTCCCCTTTTCCTTTCCTTTCTTGTCCAATCTAGCCTTTTTACCCCCCCATCTCTTAGTCTCCACCCTCTTAATCTCCCCTCTCTGTTGTATTCCTCTTTTCTGTTGCTTTCTGACATTGTATCGATTTTTCACCTTATTTTTCCTTTGTTTGGTTGTTTTTTTTAAGTCTTGAATTCTCCATTCTCTTTCCCTTCTTTCCCTTTTCTTCCTCAACTAAAGTTATTTGTTCATTAGAAATGGCTTCTTCTTCATCATCCCAGCTTTCTTGTTGTTGTAATTCCTGGTAGGTAGAAATGGCCATTTCCAAAAAGTAGAAAACAGATCCAGAAGAGCCCTTCCCTTCTTGTTCCTCTTCTCTTAACTTTTGAAATTCCATTTTCAATTCTTCAACAGATAATGCCATTGTGAAATTTTTTAAACAACCCAAAAGTTATTAGTTTTTCAAAAAATAGTTTCCAAAAGTCCCAAAGTCACCAAACAACCCTAATCAACACAAACTGTTTCATTTAGCACTTTCTTCTTTTTGTACTTTCTCTTCTTGGGGTAGAATCAATTACAAAGTTCCAAAATGTATTTTTTTGAAGTCTTATTACAGTTTATCTCTAGTCTTATAAACTCCAAGCAATCTCCTCCAGCAAAGTCTTAATATAAGTTCTTTATCTCTCCCTTCCCACGTATAGCAAAAAAATAATTTTTAAATCTTTGATTCCAGTGTTCAGAAATCTTTAATACCCCTTTGGTTTTATTTTTTAAATTTAATTACCTTCTGTTGCCAAGACGGGTTTTTCCGATTTCCTTCTGCTATTTCCATAGGGAAGGAGAGTGAGAAGAAAAAAACTTTCCCTTTTAACTTTCTTCCGCCGCTTTTTTACAATCTTCTTAGGGAACAATGTATCTTAAAAGAGTTGAATTTCCAGGGTATTTAGATGTTACTTGCTATCCCAGTTCAGCCGAAAACTTTCTCTTTCTCTGCTTCCTCCTGCACAGTCTTGTCCGGGTGAAAGTTTCTTTGTGGCGGCCATTGCTAACCG